GACACGTAATAACGGTTCTGTGCCAGCTGATCTGCACCAAAGTACTCATTTCCTTATTTGTTTCCTCACATATCTGTCTCCCTCTCCACAAACTCTCACATGAAATGTGTTCTTTTGATGCAGCATGCCTTAGCAGTCCTTTATCAGTCTGTAATGAGTGTTTCCAGTCGCAAAAACCTTTGACAGTAAAAGCCGCATCAGATGAAGACGTATTTACTTTAAAGTGTCTACAGTGGAAACAAAAGGCTGCGTCTGCTTTTAACGAATCTTCAAGCCATGGTCTGTTGTTGTACCATGCAGCGGCAAAAGTGCGCTTCTCTTCCTGAAAACAATCTCCCTGGATAACGATCCAGTTTCACCTGTTGGGTTTATTAACCCCAAGATCATCTGGGGCTGTTGGTCTTTGAGCAGTTACTGGCCCAATAGTACCTGTTGATGTGCTGCAAGGTAGCGTCTGTAGTGGAGGCACCGGCACGGAGGAGGAGGAGGATGCTGGCGGGTGTGGTAACGCAGGTGGTGATGGTAGGGGCACAATGAGCTGTGCCTCGGAGGACAGCGTTGGTGGCGGCCGCCTTGATGAGTCATGGATTGGGCTCGCTAACTCAGCCCCGGGGTTTGCCGAGGTCAAGCTTGTGACATTAAGGCATGCTGCTGCAACGGCAGGTGCAGGGTCGCCAGCAGCACCATCGGCTGCAGTTCTTTCATCGCTATTTTGTTTTAATAAATCCTTAGACCTTTTAAGACAATTTCTGATGTCCATTGTGTAATTCAAACATAAATAGGAGTCTACAGAATGCACAATAAACAATAAACAAATCCAGAATAGGCGGCAGAGTGTGACGCTGTGATTGGTCTAAATGTGGACGATTCACAAATCACAACAGACACATGAATTTATTTGACGTAGCCTGCGATTTTTTGTTTTAGTTACTATCTGACATCACATACATCTTAGCATAAAAGTTCACAGTTTATTTATAATTTAAAATATATATATTTTTACATTTTTATAAATAATAAAAATTGTGTTTATTGGGGGAGGGCAGGAATGTCAAATGGGAGGGCCTGGCCCTCCAACGGCGCCGGGCATGAGTCAGACAGGAACAGAATGTTGGAGAGGAGCTCGAAAACATGGCAGCCATCCAGTTAACATGTGTGTCCAATAAGGTGACAATATTGGGGTTAAATATTTATAGAATCCGGACAATAAAGTATAATGGCAGAGCGTGAAGGTATTGCACCATCTTGTAAATCTTGCTGTTCCCTCTCTATAACATTTTGTAGAGAGAGATTTAGTTTGTCGTTTTTTACCCTTTAGTTCCTGCTGTTTTGTATCCACACCAGTGGCGAACCGTCAGGGCCTTCAAGGTATTTAGAGAATACCCTGGAACACTCAGATAAAACAAACAAAAAATCGATTTCATTTATAAATAAAATGTATATAAAATGAATAAATGAGAATCGTATCCGTGTTGTTGATCTGTAATATTAGTGTTACGTTGATTTGTTTGTCCTTCTCGGACCATGCACTACGCATTTCAGTGGTTTTGTGTTAGAAAAGAAAGCAACCAATCAGATCTTGTTCTGGGTAGAATATCCTTCAACCAAGGTATTCTACATCCTTGATAGAATGCTCTGGCCGTTGCACTAAATGAGAGCGTACGTTTGGACTGACAGTTTGATCAACCAATCATATATTGATTTGTAGCCAATGGGCGTATTCTTTCAGTTTCCCTCGGTTCCAGGGTATTCTAGAAGGCCCGCTAGTTAACTGGCTCGAGACAGAGGATCTACTGTAGATGAATGCGATGAAGCAATTCATGCCGTTTTATTGTTTTTAACGTTGAAATGAAAAGTGCCTCAGGTGAAGAGGAAGTAGTTGCGGAATTGTTGTGAGTACCCTTTTCACGACAATTCAGTGATGGACATTATAATGCCGGGGGGGGGGGGGGGGGGGGGGGGGGTGTCCTCAGAAGGTTCAGTTGTGAAAGACACGGTTGGCCACTGATCCACACCATTGGTTGGAAGTGGAAGTTTGAAGCATGGAGGTGGGGGGATTTGGGTTGAGGTCCAGGGGTGGAGGTAAAGGAGCAGACAGCTAGTTGTTTGTGAATTGTGGCAATTTTTGAATTCTAAAATGAGAGGAAAGCGTTGCATTTGTCAGTAGTAAAGGAGTTTGAGAAGGAGTTCATGGGCTTGAGGAGTTTGTTGATGGTGTAGAAAAGTGTTTGGAGTTGGGACCAGATTGGATGATGGAGGAGTAATTGGTGGAGCGAGCGCTGTTGAGTGCATCTATGTTTTGTTGTTGTTGGAGTTTGTAGGCTTCCAGGTGTACATTTGGTCTGTTCTTTTTAGAGAGTTTTTCCAGTTGATGGCACATGGTTTTGACGAATCGTAGTGTCAGTGTACCGGGACCAGAGTGTGTGAAGGAGACAGGTTTGGTTTTAATGGGGGCAATAAGTAACTCTGAATAATCCAACATCAGAAATATGTTATACATTTAGGAAAACATTTGATTAAATAAGATAAATTAGACCAACCTTAACCTGTATAGCTAGCTGGTGGTTTTGACTAATTTAGCGACCTCACAGAATTAATTTGATATTTTATAAAAAAAGATCAACAATTACAGTTAAATCACAAACTTGTAACACACACACACACCACACACACACACACACACACACACACACACACACACACACACACACACACACACACACACACACACACACACACACACACACACACACACACACACACACACACACACACACCTTGTTTGATGAAACAGAACTTGTATTTGAAAAGAAAGAAAGGCACAGACAGAGCACTCTCTTTGTGGAATCACTGCTGAACAAGCACAGGGCCCGTCCTCCACACAAGTCATATGTAACTAAGCAACATGTCATCCTATATTTGCACACAACCTGTCCTGCCATACTAGTAATTAGAATGCATAACATTAAAATAATCATTTTAAAATAACAAACGAGCAATGCCTATATTATATATAGACACAACAGCACGGGTAGCAAATCATAAAAATACAACTGTATAAAAATAATCTCTTAAATTACACATAAAGCAGAGAGAAGAAACAAAAAAGGAATGTTTGATGTATAATATGTTCCAGCCTGACAAACAGTGGACTTCTTGTCCATCAATAAAAGTTGCAATGCCACTTCCTATTACTTGTCTTAGCTGTGAGTCACATTTAAGGGCAATGCAAACAATGCATGAGTACGATGGACCAGAAAAATAATACAGTGCTGATCAACGTATCGCAGAGGACTAACATGAAATAGTAAACACATACGTTTTATAAAAATTAGAGCTTTGCCAGTTTCGCTTGAATAAAGTCCTTTTAACAAAACCTCAGTCAACATAAATCGAGACTGTAAAACCGACCACGCTGACCCGACGGAATGACAGTGACAATATTACCTTGGATTATAAATGCAGAAAAATGATCAAACATGAAACTCTCTTCAGTCTGTGCGGACTCTTTAGTGCATTCGGTCCCACAGTTAATACAAAGGTAAAAACAGTCAAAATCAAAAGTGCTTCAGTGACAGAGAGGATAAAGCATAATAAACTATTTAGAATAATGTTTCACACAGGTGGCAAGGAAACCTTTGCCGATAAACTGTCACCTGCAAACCTTCAAAGGAACACCATCTTTTCCATGATCTTGTCCCTACGTATGCTGCAGCATTTTGAATGAAAAATGTTACGAGACTTTTTGGTCCAGCCTGATAATAAAGAGTTACAATAGTCCAGCCTTGAAGTAACAAATGCATGGACTAGTTTTTCTGCAGTTCAAATTAATAAAAACGGACATGTCTTACTTTCAGATGAAGTGCAGCAGAGAGCCTCACCTGGAACTTAGACTCAAACATTTAATGTGACCAAACTAAAGTGTGTATGTTCAGCAAAGCTTGCTCATTTTCTCCATTTTGTATTTGCAAAGAGAAGAACAACAGTTACATTTACTGACAGGTTAAAGCTCTCAGTCCCTACAACCACGTCACACTGACTGTCCCTCACACTGTCCCTCACACTGTGTTTTTGTCCCTCACAATATCCCTCTGACTGTCCCTCACACTGTTCCTCTGACTGTCCCTCACATGCGGCTTTCACACCAGCGCTTTTCCCTTTCTAGCTCCGACAACGGCATTACGGCGCTCACAACAACAGGGAACTGCGTCGGGTCGATGATCGTGTTGCTTTTAATCACACGAAGCCAGATTAAATTGAATAACAACTTCTCCAACCTTATGCTTTTCTCCAGAGTGCCGTGGTTCATTGTTTATTAATGTGTTTCTGCAGCATTTACCGACCGCTGCAGTGTTGGCTGCTCTTCCACAGGAGTTTATTCTCCTCCGTTAGCTCCGGGTTAGCTCACACTGCAGCGGCCGCTCTAAAGTATTCACTGTCCGACTCACACAAGCAGCTGATACATATCCCCAGTTCCCCTTAGCCTAAGTGAATGTGTGTCATTCTGAATTGACGCTGTTTGGCATCACAACGCTGTTATGAAAGTGTCTCTGGTATAAAATGGGTGATGTTAGCATAGCAACCGAAGCTAAACTGACTACTTGCTATTGCTATCCTATTGTGGCATAAACCGTTTTCTACAGGCACATTTTACCGGCGTATTTTTATTATGATTCTACTTGTGATAGTCGGACACGACAACCTGTGCAGCCCATGTATTGATTCCATCCGATAGCTGCTATAATACAAAACAAAACGTCTGCCTCTCTCCACAATGATCAATAACAGTGAACGGATGGTCAAAGTAAGGTACAAATAAACAGAATCACACGAAGCCTGGTTAGTGTTGCCTGACTTTATAAAGTGTGTTTATAAGTACTACTGCTTGTAGGCAGGCATGACAGTCGACCCATGTTCAGGGGAGGAGGGTTTAGTTTCCTGCACGCCTCGACGTAAGAGAGACGTAAGCGACGCCACCTCTTAGCTCCGAAGCTCTTGCCTCTAGACCGACCATTTTTTGGAGCTGGAAGTGAACCCGATTCCGGAGCTAAGAGCCGGCGCCGCTGCGGTGTGAACAGGAAAAACCGGCGCTTTTCAGGCTCCGGCTCCGAGCCGGAGCTGAAAAAGCGCTGGTGTGAAAGGGGCAACAGTGTCCCTCTGACTGTCCCTCACACTGTTCCTCTGACTGTCCCTCACACTGTTCCTCTGACTGTCCCTCTGACTGTCCCTCACACTGTGTCTCTGACTGTCCCTCACACTGTGTCTCTGACTGTCTAGCTAGCTTTGTTGGACTGGGATTTCTTTATTCTGAATTCTGCTTACCAAGCTCTGATTTGTGGATTGTGTCTCTAGCAGAAACAGCAGACCTGAAATCACTGGAACATATTTCCAGTTTCATCTTTGTGTGACCAGGGAGAAAAACACTGAGAGACTATGAGTACATGGTGGCCACTACAATTCCTGCTGAGACAATACTATCAGTATCAGAGTATTAATACTTTTATAGCCTTGCTGCTGTTGCTCACTGTGTCAATGCACAGCAAGAGTACATCATTCAGCTAGATTAGAGGATGTTAGTGTCATGTTAAACATTTATATCAACATGTTAAAGTCAAATATGTTTAATATGGTTGTATGACAGTACACCTGGTTCATGTGTCAGGCCGTTAGACGGGAGGCAGGCTGGAGGAGGGTTACTATAGCAGCACTGAGGCGTGTCCTGCTGGAGGAATGGACAGCAGGACAGAGTCTGTGTTGAATGGACAGCAGGACAGAGTCTGTGTCGGGAGGACAGCCGGACAGAGTCTGTGTCGGATGGACAGCAGGACAGAGTCTGTGTCGGGAGGACAGCAGGACGTCCAGCCTCAAACACTGATGCTGTGCTGTCGCAGTTTGGCCACAAGGAACTCGTGGGTTAAATTATGTCGTGTGATTATTCCAACAATCTGAAACAGATGGAAGAAAATTAACAAGAGTCCAGACAGAAAACAAAAGCCTGTGCATAGTGGAATAGCTACAGTAAAATGGTAAATGGACTGTACTTATATAGCGCTTTATCCAGTCTTTACGACCCCTCAAAGCGCTTTACATACTACATGTCATTCACCCATTCACACCCATTCACACAGAGCAGTACCACTTGCTCTAGGACCTAACATTCACACACATTCACACACCGTTGGCCATGCCATCGGGAGCAACTCAGGGTTAAGTATCTTGCCCTAGGATACATCGACATGTTGACTGCACGGGTGGGATCGAACCCACAACCTTCTGGTTGAAAGACGACCGCACTCCCTCGCAGCCACAGTCGCCCTACAGTGTTTTTATTTGGGGTTTTCTTCGGGTGTCAGGATCAAAACATTGACTTAAACACGTAATACTGGAGGAAAAGCTCTCTTGGATGACCACTTACTTCTCCAACAGCGTTCACCACTGGCAGGTGTCGCAGGCCCATCGTCCTGAATAGGTTGAACACCTGGGAGATGTGGGTGTTGGGTGACACCGTGTAGGGGCTCGGGTTCATGTAGGGGGTGACATCCTGGAAACACAGAGTTCTTATTTTATTGCTTTTCCACTCTAAAAAGTACTCTTCTATCTTAGTGTTTAAACAGGTCGTACCACTATCATGCGGGGGTTGAGCAGGGCGAGGTCCAAGTCATGGATATCCGGGTAACGTGGGTAATCTTCAGTCATCTCTGCATAGGACAACCTGGGCTGAGTGGCGCTCTGAATGTATCAAAAAAAATCTGTCACAAAAATGATTCCTAAGACCCCGCACTGCTGGCACTAGTTGGCGGCTGCATAAGCCCCTCAGTGAGAGAGATCACTCTGATTGGCTGATCATATTAATGCCTCTGAGGCCAACAGGATTAACGGTGGTCCACTCTGCTGACTTAAAGGCAGTAGCCGGCTCAGTTGTAAAGCTAGAGTGAAGATAGAGATATCATCCCTGGCAATAGATGGTCACCATGGAATTAGGAATCAGCTGCACTGTGCCCTCTGTGTCTGTACTGCCTCAACCTGCTGCTATCTTCTTGCTATGTAATATGTATGTTTTGATCAGCATTCCCAGTATTGTAAGCCACTATGTTGCATGTTTTAACTGATTCTAGTTACTTTACCATTTTAAATTAATTTAGTTTTTAGGGTAACTTTAACATCTGTCCAGGGACTACAGATGAAACGTTTCCTCTTGCCTAACTCTTGCGCATTCACAGAAATGTTAATCGACGTGCACTGTCCCTGTTAAATAATTAAATACAGTACAAATACTGTGTAAGGTCATGCTAGTTTGTCAGAGAGGAGGTTAAATAACCTTCAAGGCACATTATTGGCGAGGGAAAAACTGTATGGCTACAACCACAGGGTCCCCTTGACTTCTGACCTCAAGATTTCTGAATGCAAACATTTTCTATGGGTACCCAGCAGCCTCTGCTCTACAGACATGCTCACTTTATGTTAATCACATGCAGCTTTGGGTGTAAACAACTTTTTCTGCACCTAAAGATCCCCTGCCCTCCACAAATTGATAACATGTGGGTCTCTGAGGGTGAAGCAAATCAGTTCCAGAAAAACAGATGGTAGGAAAACAAATCAAAAGGGCACACTCATGTTTCCTCTTCCTCTCAACCCCCACTGCTGAACACTCTAGACCAGGGATGGGCAAATGGCGGCCTCTTTTTTTTAGTACCGATACTGTCCACTAGACTCCTAGTTACGTCGCGAGCTGCGTACATGATTTCAAATACCGCATAATAATCTGTGACACGTTTGTGTGTATTGTGTTTGTTTCCCGGGAAAACACTCACAAGAAACCGATGGACTGTCCACTCCAAGTAGGGAATGAGTCCTTACCCCAAGTGAAGGAGTTCAAGTATCTCGGGGTCTTGTTCTCGAGTGAGGGAACAATGGAGCGTGAGATGGGCCGGAGAATCGGAGCAGCGGGAGCGGTGCTGCAGTCGCTTTACTGCACCGTTGTGACGAAAAGGGAGCTCAGCCAGAAGGCAAAGCTCTCTGTCTACCGGGCCATTTTCGTTCCTACCCTCACCTATGGTCATGAAGGATGGGTCATGACCGAAAGAACGAGATCGCGGATACAAGCGGCCGAGATGGGTTTTCTCCACAGGGTGGCTGGTGTCTCCCTTAGGGATAAGGTGAGAAGTTCGGTCATCCGGGAGGGACTCGGAGTTGAACCGCTCCTCCTTATAGGGGTTTCACAACTACCAATATTTACTAGTCGACGCGTTTTTCAAAATAGCAGTCGACTAGTCGACTAGTCGTTACGTCATAATAAAGACACACAAAGAGAGGTGTACAACTGTATTTTATATTGGAACTCATACAGTTACATTAAACACTGCATTTTAATTTGTGTTATATGGCTGAGTAAATAACAAACAGTAACTGGACTTAGTAAATAACAAACAGTAACTGGACTCACCAAAATCAACAGCAAAAAACTCTGTTTACTGAAATGCCACGTAAATCCAGTGCGCAACAGCGCATTGTGCAACACTTTACGCGCTGTCCTCCACGATAACGTCCACCTTTCCAGGTTTTTGGTTTGCGTTGAGGAACACCAACGCATCGACATGTGAGGGAAGGAGGCTTGACCGCTTTCGGGTGACAGTGTTGCCTGCCAGGGGAAAAACCCTCTCACTCGGGGTGCCTGTGGCTGGAATAGCCAGGAAGCTCCTCGAAAGCTTGGCTAAACGGGGGACGCGGTGCGCGTTTTCTGCCAAACCACTCCAGTGGGTTATCCATTGTGGGGATATGCAGTGTCCGCTGGCAGTAAACCCTAGCTCATCATCCGCATAACTGTAGACCCGTTTTTTCTTGCTGCTCGTCTGCCTCTGTCCTGTGCTGACGCCGGTCCGTTGCTCACTGGTGCTAGCATTACTGCTAGTGCTAGCTGTCGGCAGCGGGTGTCTCATCTTCAGATGGTTGCGCATAGCAGATGTATTTTTGTTGTACTTCAGTACAGCTGTACACAACTGACACTTCACTGTGGAGTTGGTTACATCTTTGTTGAAGTACTGCCATACATAAGAATGTCGGACGTGTTTTGAAGCATTTTGCAGCACCTCGTTTACCTCCATTTTTCACACGACTAGTCGACTAGGGCCTACAGCGCCGACTAGTGGTAAAGGTAGTCGACTAGTCGACTAGTTGATTAGTTGGTGAAACCCCTACCTCCTTAGCGTCGAAAGGAGCCAGTTGAGGTGGTTCGGGCACCTAGTAAGGATGCCACCTGGGCACCTCCCTAGGGAGGTGTTCCAGGCACGTCCAGCTGGGAAGAGACCAAGGGGTAGACCTAGGACCAGGTGGAGGGATTATATCTCTTCGCTGGCCTGGGAGCGCCTTGGGATCCCCCAGTCAGAGCTGGTTGATGTCGCCAGGGAAAAGAAAGTTTGGGGCTCTCTGCTGGAACTGCTACCCCTGCGACCCGACCACGGATAAGCGGGAGAAGATGGATGGATGGATGGACACTCACAAGAAACACCGGCTGTTGTTATGCCTGCTGAGATGTCAAGTTACCGCTTGCAATTATGCCTTTACAAGCTTCAGGGTTGTATTTATCATCTGAATTTGGCGAAACAAGTTTAATATTCTGAAAGCCAAGACTTTGTTTATTTGAAATCAGATGAAAACAAACTGTGATTACTATACGATTTTCATTCATAATTTCAGCGGGAGGGAGGGGGAGCGGCGCTGAGGAACAGAGTGGGGGTTGACAGGTGTCTGTGTTGACATTCCCCTTATTGTGGAATAAGGGGAATGCAGATCTATGAGGATTTTCTGATATTTTCACAACAACAGGGTGACTGGAATTAAGCTAAGTGGAGAGTGGTGTGAAATTGTAACAAGTAATTTTGACTGTCTTATTTGTGCAAACATATTATAAGCATCATGTTCAATAATAATAATGATAATAATAATAACTTGAAATTATATAGCGCCTTTCATAACCTCAAGGTCGCTTTACAAAGAAAGAAGAATTCAATGAAGAATACAGACAAACTTCAGCTGGAGAGTTATTACCAGAACTTACGTGCAGTGTAATGCTGGCTGTAGGCTTTGCGGTGTTTTCAATTATGATTTAATGCCTTTGTGTGTTTGTGTGCAACTGACCGACTGATTCTCGGTGTAGCAGACTCCCCTGATGAGCAGGGTGACCAGCTGGGAGCGCAGGATGAGGCCGTGGAAGGTGAGCGGTCTGAAGCGCTCCTCCATGCTCCACTCCTCACTGGGGGACTGGTCGGGGTACAGGTTGGGGTACGGAGCATGCCTTCACGTGCACAACACAACCATTTCATTAAAACCCACAAAATGTTTTCTCTCAGTGAACGCATACATATATGATTTATATAAAATGTGTGAAATGTATAGTGATACAGTTGTAGGGTCATACTGTGAACCCTGAAATGTTGAGTACCACAACGTTTTATGTTAGAAATGTATAGTAGCAAACTCCCGGATGCTAGCTTGCATATGTTGAGCAATTTGCAATATCTGACATATATATCTGGCCATGTATGTAATCCCGGTGGGCTGATTTTGATAAATTTGGGGTTGATTTTTTTGTTTTAGGAGACTCAAAACTACAAATTTCAGAAAATTGATTCACACACACCGAAAATGTTCCAACTCGGGCAAGCCATTTTTTAACTATTGTCTGCATATGGGAATTAATGCTAATTAATGCAACTTGTGCTCTTGACCTAACAATCAACATCGGCACCTCAGTTGTTTCCCCGACTCAGACTGCAAGGAATCTGGGTGTGACCCTAGATAACAACCTGTCCTTCACTGCAAACATCGCTGCTACAACCCGTTGCTGCAGATACACGCTTTACAACATCAGGAAGATACGTCCCCAGCTGACACAGAAAGCGACTCAGGTTCTGGTCCAGGCTCTCGTCATCTCACGCCTAGACTACTGCAACTCCCTCCTGGCTGGTCTACCTGCATGTGCCATCCGACCTCTGCAGCTCATCCAGAATGCAGCGGCTCGTCTGGTCTTCAACCTTCCTAAATTCTCCCACACCACTCCGCTCCTACGCTCGCTTCACTGGCTTCCGGTAACTGCTAGAATCCACTTCAAGACACTGGTACTTGCTTACCATGCTGCGAATGGATCTGGCCCTTCGTACATCCAGAACATGGTTAAACCGTACACCCCAGCACGTGCACTACGCTCTGAATCAGCCAAACGACTCGCTGCACCCTCGCTGCGAGGGGGACCCAAGTTCCCAACGGCGAAAACACGTGGGTTTGCTATCCTGGCTCCAAGATGGTGAATGAGCTCCCCATTGACATCAGGACAGCAGATAGCTTGCACATCTTCCGGCGCAAACTGAAAACTCATCTCTTTCGACTCTACTTCGAGCGATAGAACTATTAACAAAGCACTTATATACTAATAAAGGACTGGCTTATCTAAAGCCAGTTGAGTAGCACTTGAAATGTTTGGCTCTATGAAACCTGATGTACTTATATGATTCTGTTTTCTTCAAGGTTGTGTCTTCCTGGTCGAATGTACTTATTGTAAGTCGCCTTGGATAAAAGCGTCAGCTAAATGCAATGTAATGTAATGTAATTATGCAAATTACTCAACAAGTTAGCATCCAGCAGTTTGTATGTGCTGGGGACCCTACTATACATTTCTATCATAAAACCTTGGGGTACTCAACATTTCATGGCAAGAAGACTAAAATGTGAAAAGCCAGTAAATGATAGAGTGCTCTTGTGAACTGGTGCAGCTGGGTGTTTACAGTCACAACACTTTGTCTGTCGGGGGGTGGTACAGGAACATGTTAAACTTGTGTAGTGTGTGACCTACCTCCTCTCTAGCATCTGCTGCAGCAGGTCCTCCCCCCTCTCCCCCTCCCCCCCGGCGGCGATGCGCTCCTCACAGACGTTCCTCAGCTCGCTGGACGGGTATGACTTCATAGACTGGCAGCGCCGCCGCTGCTCCCCCGCACGGGACAACACACTGGATTTCTGGATGGGAATTTGAAGAGCATGTTTCCTCAGTTTGCTGGATCCATTCCAACAGCATTCACTTTGGTTCCATTATCCAGTCAACGGTGTAAAATAAGAATTGAAAATATCTTTCTCTTGGATTGATTACATTAGAACATTGAATGTATTGTTTAACATGTGTGTGCTTTGATTGTAAATATAGTACAAATCGTTCATGGTATAAGTGACTTATAACAACTTGCTACTAAGAATAAAGCTAAATCAATTTTTATTTAGATATTGCCTTGGAGCAGAACTAGTCATTGATGTGCAACATTGTTCACACTTACCAAGTGCAATTAAAAACACCTATGAGAGTGTACACACTTCCATTGTCATTTGGTATAAATGACAAAATTGGTTCTTAATTATACCGGAAAAAAACCGGACAAAACCTTAAGATGGGAGGATCAGTGCTGTTCCTTATTACTCTAGCTCCAAGTTAAAGTTAAAGGAAATGTGAAAAGGGCTAATTTGGGTAGTAAGGACATGTTCAGCTGCTGCTATACTCAGACCTCTACCTCCCTCCACTGGTTACCCCACTGAATACACTGTGGCGTGTTAATAGTGAATGTAGTGCTGCCAGCAGTATAACTGAAGTGTTCCCTGTTTTCTCTGAAGAGAACAAAGACAGGCAGGATATTGGTCTCCGTGTACAGTGGAACTGTTGCATGTGTTAAAGATGTTTCCATTCTCGACTGACCTTAAAGCGGATGTTGTTGCTGACCAAGATGTTGCCCTTCATGAAGTCCTGCTCGTTATACCGGTTCTCTGTCACCACAGGGAAGGCGTTGTAGACAGTGGTGCGCAGGATGCTGACCAGAGACTGGACCCGTGTGTGGGGGTACACATAGGTCAGGTTGGGCTCCATGATATCATTAGCTGTCAGCCTGGATAAAGGAGAGAAGGAACAAAGAGACTTCCTGTTTAAGGTGATGATAGAACAACTCCTGACAGACTGAGGATCCAAATGATAACAAGGATAAGCATGGATAACAATCAGCTGGTTCCAGGGGCGCCGTGAAAGGTTAGGACAATTCTAAGGGCCCGTGACAAGCAGGGGGCCCCAAAATGTTTAGAACATTAAGAACAAATGTTTAAGTACCCTTTCATCAATAATTAACATTAATATAAAGTTATATTGCGTAGTAGGCTACTCACTAAACTTACGATTCATTTAACTTATTTTCTTCCAAAAGTTAATTATCCAAAGCCTCTGTACACCCCCTCTATTTACATGTAATTGTTTGGTCCTGCGACTCCTGCCTCCAAACGCAGAAACGGCACTTTCTAGCAGAGTGAAAGCATGTGAGGAGGGATGCTAGTAGCCTACGTACGTGTGTTGTAACACACAATACAATTCTCCAGTCTGGGAAGATCTCACTCGACATAGAGACTTAAAGGAAGAGATACAGGCTCTTAGAGATGCATGGGAGTCACTCCTGTCTGAGGCAACACTGATTGCTGCTCAAATGGATGTTGCACCTGAATTTAGCATGGAACACTGTCGCAAGAGGAAAAGAAAGAGATTCCATGATGAGACCTCTCAAGAGAAGACAGATCAGGACAGTGCAGCAACGGTGTTCCGCAACACAGTGTTTTTTACTGCAATGGACAAGATCATATGCGACTTAGACACTAGGTTCCGCACCACTCAATGTATTGTGGAAGAATGTTCTGCTGTTCTGAAAGTTGGGCAGATTGCTGAGGATAAAGTCCCTTCTGTTTGCCAACCACTGATCAGGAAGTATTCAAGAGATCTTACACCTGAGTTTGAAAATGAAGTAAGACACCTGAACACTGTGTATGCTGCCACTTTCCACACTAACTTGTCCCCTCTTGGTCTCCTGAATGCAATTCACAAGATGCAGCTGCAAAGCATTTTTGGAGAATTGTGCATTGTTTTATGTATATTTTGTACACTGCCTGTGACTGTTGCAGGAGGTGAGAGAGCTTTCAGTAAGCTAACATTGATAAAAAACTATTTGAGGTCCACTATGTCTCAGGACAGGCTTTGCAGTCTTGCCATGCTGTCCATTGAAAGCCAGTTAGCTAGAAAGCTGGACTTCAAGGACTTAATCAGTGACTTTGCTTGTAATGCCCCTTTCACACCAACGCGTTTTCAGCTCCGGCTCGGAGCTGGAGCCTGAAAAGTGCTGGTTTTTCCTGTTCACACCGCAGCGGCGCCGCCTCTTAGCTCCGGAATCCGGTTCACTTCCAGCTCCAAAAAATTGTTGGTCTAGAGGCAAGAGCTTTGGAGCTAAGAGATGGCGTCGCTTACGTCTCTATTACGTCGAGGCGTGCAGGAAACTAAACCCACCTCCCCTGCACATGGGTCGACTGTCATGACTGCCTACAAGCAGTAGTGCTTATAAACACACTTTATAAAGTCAGGCAACACTAACCAGGCTTCGTGTGATTCTGTTTATTTGTACCTTACTTTGACCATCCGTTCATTGTTATTGATCATTGTGGAGAGAGGCAGACGTTTTGTTTTGTATTATAGCAGCTATCGGATGGAATCAATACATGGGCTGCACAGGTTGTCGTGTCCGACTATCACAAGTAGAATCATAATAAAAATACGCCGGTAAAATGTGCCTGTAGAAAACGGTTTATGCCACAATAGGATAGCAATAGCAAGTAGTCAGTTTAGCTTCGGTTGCTATGCTAACACCACCCATTTTATACCAGAGAAACTTTCATAACAGCGTTGTGATGCCAAACAGCGTCAATTCAGAATGACACACATTCACTTAAGGGGAACTGGGGATATGTATCAGCTGCTTGTTTGAGTAGGACAGTGAATACTTTAGAGCGGCCACTGCAGTGTGAGCTAACCGGGAGCTAACGGGAGAATAAACTCCCGTGGAAGAGCAGCCAACACTGCAGCGGTCGGTAAATGCTGCAGAAACACATTAATAAACAATGAACCACGGCACTCTGGAGAAAAGTATAAGGTTGGAGAAGTCGTTATTTAATTTAATCTGGCTTCGTGTGATTAAAAGCAACACGATCATCGACCCGACGCAGTTCCCCGTTGTTGTTGTGAGCGCCGTAACGCCGTTGACGGTGACGTCATGACGCAGCAGCGGCAGCACCCGTCGGGCTCTGGGCGGTGTGAACAGAGTGGGAGCAGAAAAGGGAAACCGGAGCTGAACCAGAAAAGCTCTAGCTCGGAGCTAGAAAGGGAAAAGCGCTGGTGTGAAAGCCGCATAAGAAGGCTAGGCGCTGGGCTCTTGGTGAGTAAGGCTGAGCAAGGACTCTGATGCATGTTGAGAAAAAGACTGAGAACAGGTAATGGGCTCTGATTTGGCACCACCATCAGGCCTTTTCATTTCCATTTCCGTTGTGTTCCACTTTAATACCTGCTTATTTTGTAGTTGGTATGTATATTTAATTTTAAAATCTGCTGCTTATGTTATTTTTTGTGTTATAGCATTTTATAAATGATTTTGTTGCTGGTAATGTTCACTTTATTTTAATTTAAGAGGTCATGTATATTTAAGTTATATTTATTTGGATTTATGCATTCATGTTGAGAATGTTCCATTCATAAATGTTATTATTAAAAAGGCATTTACACCATAAAAGATTACTATTGAGATCTATTGTCAGGAATGTTAGTCTTATATCAAATAGTGAATTCTACTGCAGCAGAATGTTCCACGTCTGCACAGTGTTATATTTTCACAGCTCAGTGTCAATAAATATTGTGCGGTTAGTTTTGGACTACAAGATAGATGCAAGCCTGTACAGGTAGAGTTATTTAAAGCATAAATGAGTGGGTTGGGTTCTGGAGATGTGGTTAGCAATTGTGCTTGGTTGGGGTGGCCTGGGCCTGGTGGTGGGGGGGCCCAATTTGATATCTTTTCATGGGGCCCAAAATCCCTGGCGGCCCCCTGGCTGGTTCATGGACGCACACAATGAGATGCTTAGAACTGATCATGCTGAGCTCGGGTGTCAAACTCAATTCATCCGGGCCCCATCAACATTACTCCCCTTTAAAAGGGACGTTTGTAACTGTAAGATTCTAATTATATATAGTTATATATTATTTGTCTTCTTTACTTGCTTGTAAAGCGCTTTTAGCACCAGGAAAAGCGCTATATAAATCACATGTATTATTATTATTATTATTATTATATAAATATATGTACTCTATATCATATTAGATAATTGCCCTGATTATCATTCGTTTTAGTAATAACTAATTAATCATTTGCTCTGAAAGCAGAAGTCTAGGGAAAATAATTGCAATCGGACATTCAATTGTACAATGATTATACAATTATTTTCAGAAAATGAATGAATTTAGATACAAATCATATGTTGTGCATCGATATACACTCATGTATATAGACACAAATTACTGTGTGTATGCAAACACACTTACATTTCTGGGTGTTATTATAAATCCCATGAAGTTATGAGATTAAAAGACCCTCATCATCACTCATACAGTGGAGGAAATAAGTATTTGATCCCTTGGCAATTTTGTAAGTTTACCCACTTACAAAGAAATGAACAGTCTATCATTTTAATGGTAGGTTTATTTGACTAATAAGAGAGAGAATATCAAAAAGAATACCCAGAAATGTACATTATATAAGACATATAAATTGATTTGCATTTAATTGTGGGAAATAATTATTTGATCCCCTAGGAACCAACAAGGATCTGGCTCCCACAGACCGGTTACACAAGTCCTCTTCTTTTAAGAAAGTATTCCTAATATCAACTTGTTACCTGTATAAAAGACACCTGTCCACAGAATCAATCAATCAGATTCCAACCTCTCCACCAGGGGCCAGACTAAAGAGCTGTCTAAGGACCTCAGGGCCAAGACTGTAGACATCCACAAGGCTGGGACCAAGACCATCAGAGAGCAGCTTGGTGAGGAGGAGACCACTGTTGGTGCCATTATTCAGAAATGGAAGAAACACAAAATGAGCATCAGTCACCCTCGGTCTGGGGCTCCACACAAGATCTGGCCCCGTGGGGTATTGATGATCAGGAGAAAGGTGAGGGGTCAGCCAAGAACTACACAGACCCAAGAAAACTATTGGTAACACACTACACCATAATGGATCAAATCCTGCAGCGCCTGAAGGCCCCCTGTTCAAGAAGAACATGAGAGGCCGTCTGAAGTTTGACAACGAACCTCTGAATGATTCAGAGAAGAGGATGTGGTCAGATGAGACCAAAATGTAGATCTTTGGCATCAACTCGACACGCTGTGTTTGGAGGAAGAGAGATGCTGAATATAACCCAAGAACACCATCCCCACCGTCAGCATGGAGGTGGAACCATTCTGCTTTGGGGGTGTTTCTCTGCTAAGGGGACAGGACCACTTCCCTGCATCGAGGAGAGGATGGACGGGGCCATGCACCTTAAAATCTTGGCCCATAGCCTCCTTCCCTCAGCCAGGACACTGAAAATGGGTCACGGAGGGGTCTTCCAGCAGGACAATGACCCTGAACATACGCCCAAGGCAACACAGGAGCTGCTAAAGAAGAAGCACATTTAGCTGATGGAGGGGCCTAGCCAGTCTCCGGACCTTAATCCCATAGAAAATCTGTGGAGGGAGCTGAAGTTTTGAGATGCCAAGCATCAGCCTCAAAACCTTCAGGATTTGGACAGGACCTTCAGAGAGGAGTGGACCAAAATCCTCCCTGAGATGTGCACAAACCTGGAGACCAGCTACAAGAAGTGACCTCTGTGCTGTCCAACAATGGTTTCTCCACCAAGTACTAACACATGTTCTGCAAGGGGATCAAATACTTATTTCCCATAGTTAAATGCTAATAAATTGTTATATTTTATATAATGTCAATTTCTGGATTTTCTTTTGGATATTCTTACTCTCACTGTTAAAATAAACCTACCATTAAATTAAATTATATACTGTTCATTTCTTTGTAAGTGGGAAAACTTACAAAATCTGCAAGGGATCAAACAATTATTTCCTTCACTGTATCCGGGGGGGCGGCGGCGGCGCTGAGCAGAGTGAGAGGAGACGGTGATCACTGAGGCTATCATCCTGCCCTTACAAGCTCCATAAATGTATTCATCGTCTAAATATGGTGATAAGCATTCCACATTCTAAAAGCCAAGATATTTTTTGTTCCATATCAACCAAAAAAAACAACAAATGACCGAAATCATGGACATCTTGGAATGAGCAGGAGCGACATGCAGCTGATTTTGTTTGCGGGCTCACATACTCTGGTGGGAATACAGTCTGCTTCTTTGTTGCTAGTCTTGGAGGCTGATGGCCGGGGGGGGGGGGTCTAGTGGAGTACTTCGTGACCACAGAGTGTGAACTCTGTGATCAGCTGTTTTAGCGCAGTTCTCCAGTGAAGGGGGGTGGGGGGGGAGTGTCCCTCCGCATCCGGTTGACGTAGTTTTGGCACAATTCCGTTGTACAGACCGACGTTAACAGCAGCTCTGTCTGTGCACACGGAGACCGACTCTGTCGTCCGGTGATCTAACCGCCTTCTGGAAAAGCTTCACAAGTACGTCGGTACGCAAATGCGCTTTGTGACACAAGTGACGGTACGCATTTCAGATTGTTGCCACGCATGCGTACCTGCGTACCAGTTATGTGCACCCCTGCTTATGGCACTTTTCCACTGCAGCACGTAGCACGGTTTAAGCGGGCTGGGCGAAACCCGGCCTGCTTTTTTTTGCTTTTCCACTAGGGGCAGTTCCGGCTGGGCTACTTTTTCACCTTTTTTTTGGCCCTCCAAAATCGAGGTTCTTACCGGGCCAACAAGCGGGCTGAATATGCTAAACTAGTGAGGTAAACACTCTCGACTGCTGAATGGTCAGAGAGAATCGCTGGCAATGGGGGCTACAACTACAACAAGATGAACGTATTTTACCGTGATTTAATTGTAATACACGTTTCAAAATGAGGCCGAAGTAACAACACACTGATACCGGTCTGCAGACAAGACGGCAGGGGAAAAACCTTTTAAAATGCGTGTTTTTCTGAATGGAGATCGGATCGATCAGGCTAAGCTAATATATGTATATGCTCCGTCCACACTCACAACAACGGCCTACAGACATAAATAAAGCAGCGACTGTATTCGCCATGACACAGACAGTCTGTGGTTTGTACTTGTTTAACTTTTGTCTAGTTTCTGAACAGATATGAGGAGCTGTGAGCTCTGAGTGCTAACAGCTAACGGCTGATGTTTTGGTTTTGTGGTTCGCATTAAGGATGACGTCACGGCAGTTTTATGCAGCGTCGCTCTGCCCGCCAAACAGCCGATCGCCCCGCCTAACCCTAACCTTGAGGCACGATGCGCACACATGAATGGCATGGTTTTGAGTGTGTCGGTATCCAACAATCAACATGTTAGCAGCTAACCTTAGTGTAACGGCCCGTCCACACACAGGCATGAAAAAAATCTTGAAAAATCTTGATGCTGGGCGTGTCTGAAGCTTGGCGATTTTTTGCGACCAACAACCAATCACATGAATCTCCCGCCCCCGACATACAAAGCAATAGCAATGTTAAAACGAAGTAAACTGGATATAAACTCCCCAAACAGGCGAAAACCTACCAGTTTCACCCACTGTCTCTGCCACCTCCCTCCATGCCTGGTTTCTCCGGTTTGTATCCCGGTAAATAGTTTTGGTCGTAAAGAACCGGGTGATTTGCTACCGTAATTTCTCGTTTGGAACATGAGGAAATTAACTGCGGTCTGGCTCTCCCAGCTTGCACGCGGTTTGATTGGCTAGCGCTTGTACTGGCGGGATTTGCATAAACGGGATTTGATTGGCTGATGCCAGCTTCGAAAGCATCGGGAGCATCAAAAGTTGAACATTGCTCAACTTTTGATGCTCACGATGCTTGCAAAGCCATGCTCCGCTCCCCACAATGCAGTTCGGCGAAGATTCAAAATCTTCTACGTCACCCCATTCAAGTGAATGGGCGAAGCTTTGAAAGATTGTTTTCATGCCTGTGTGTGGACGGGCCGTATGTGTGTGTGACAGTGAGAGTGCAGCACCAGGCCTTCAGCCCCCAGAACTAATCTTACTTGTCCATTTCAACCTCAGTCTCCCACTCCAGCAGCGGCACTCCTCTCAGCTGGATGTGGATGTCATAGATGCCTTTGTTGAAAAAATCTCCCGTCCACTTGGCAACCTGGTGGTCAACACAAAAGCATGAAGCACGTGAACCCAACAAGAACGACATGACTATTATTCACAACTCTCCCTCCTCAAGACCAACATGGAAACAATGACTCCTTGTGAAAAAAATTGTTAATTGTTGCTGTACCATTAGAGTAATCATGATGGGCAGCCCATATGTGATTTCATTGGTGGATTCAATGAGGATGACGGTCAGACTAATGGTCATCCTGACCACGCCTCCCAGGAAGGCAGCAGCTCCAATCAGAGCAAAGGTCCCTGGGTAGATGTCCATTCCCAGCTTCCTAACAGAGGACAGACCAGAGGGGACAGAGTGAGGATTGTGTGGTGAGTGTAAAGACGTGAGTCTCCATCAGGAAGCAGCATGGCTTCATCCTCAGACAATTGGCCCCACCACCTCTCCTACAGAGAGGCAACACACACAGGGATTCAGCCTCTGCTTTGTGTCTTTCTGTTGTCATTACGTTGGTAGGCTACTTCAGGAATCCATCAATTTTAGCAGGCTGTGAGGCACTCTGGCTCTATGTTTAGTCTTTTTTCTACCATTGTTCCAAAGTACCTTTGAACCTTCACCTTAATAAGTATCTTTACATTCTCTCCTTATTCACTTTTGTCTGCATTTCTTATGTCTTTGTGTGAGTCACATGGTATGGTTAGCTTAGCATAAAGACCAGGGGCGTCGCCTGGACCTGAAAACATTCGGGGCTTAGCCCACACCCTACAGTCGAATGTTCTACTGCAACACTCCCCACAAGCACACACAGGCTCGATAATCAGCTCACGGCATATAGGAAGGGGTAAAGTGCTATTTTTTACGAGTGGGGAGCGGACCTCACCTCCTCTAGGGGGTCCGGGGGGAAGCTCCCCCGGGAAGATTTTTTTTAAATATTGAAGTTAAAAGCATCAATCTGGTGCACTTTGAGAGCAACATTAAGAGATCTATGGATACATCTCTCAACATCCATACACAACTGTAATCAGATATTCTTTTTCTTTATGGATATGTTACAAATCACTCCCCTTTTAAACTGTGTTCTTGTTTTACTGCCATATAGTATTTCATAACTGTTTTTCATTTTTTATAACGATAATGATCATATGAAGGTGTGCCGCGGAAATAATCTTTTGAAAAATGTATGAGCAAACCATTTGAGACCCACTGAGATAACTTAGACTAAAGTGAACTATCTAAACACTCAGAGTCCTTTAGCTCACCTGAGTCTCTCAGTCTGACAGGAGAGAGCTTTCCTCCAGCCTGTTGTGGAACCAACAGCTCCGTATGTCCATTAGTGCAGCTAGCTAACCAGATGCTAACAACACAATCCCTGCTGGCATCTATCTATCTATCTATCTATCTATCTATCTATCTATCTATCTATCTATCTATCTCTCTCTCTCTCTCTCTCTCTCTTTATTTCCATGCAACTCTCTGATTGGTCTGGTGTCTTGCCTCTGTTGCATTCACTGAACACGGGGAATTACAGTCCAGCCGTCCTCTCTAGTGTCATGATGAAGTTCACGTAAAGCACGGTTAATGTATTATATTATTGAGGGAGAATTGTCCGGGGCTACAGAAAAAACATTCGGGGCGCCACTGATAAAGACTTCAAGCAAGGCAAACAACTAGCTTTGCAAGGTCCAAAGTTAAAATATTGGATGTATTCATTGTTTGACAATCTTGCCTTCAAAGGCTTCACTTCATTAAAAAAAACATTTTGGCAGATAAACTCCATCAGTGGCATATTCCCAGAGCAACATAATCCTTCATCAGGAGGCTCTGAGCCTGTTCAGACCATCTCTAGGCCATGGTCTAAGATCATGGAGACAGTGCATTTAGGGTATGTCCAAGTCTCGCTTTTGTGCTAATTCTTAATAATAGAAACTGTATTTCTTTCTGATGCAACCTGTGGAGGGCATGGGTTGAAAGAAGAGTGGAAATAAGAGCCTGCAGAGGAGCTGTGATGAGCCGGACATCAGACAAAACATAGAGGTTAAAGAGGAGGCCCTGTGGACATGTTGCACATATGTTAGGGATGTGCATCTCCATCACTGAGGACGATGCGATGCGCATCTCGATGCGATGCGCATCTCGATGCGTTGCCAACGATACGATACATTAACGATAAATTTGAAGCACCAGACGATGCGATACGATTCACCCCTGTTGCGATACAGTTCGATACGATTTGATTCAACATTATGTGATTCAGGGCGATACGATGCGATTCAACACGATGCAAAAATAATGATACTTCAATATGGTATGACAGAGGATTTTGTTTTATTCCTTATATCCAAATGATAAATTAACTAAAAAGTGCTTTACATATGTGGTTCTCTCTACTAGTACTGCGTATCCCATTATGCAATGCCCATACAGCTGCCAGCCTGATGTGCTTAACACTCATTCATAGGCTAACTCACCAGTGAGCAGAAAGCAGTGGTTTCTATATGAACAATAAAGAATACAAATAACCTTTCACAAACAGGTATTTAACTGCTTACAGTAAGGAAGACATTTAAACTATTATTGGCCGTCACAGGCTGCTGTAAACTAAACACCACTCTCTCTGACAGAACACCTCACTGAGTGATTTAACTCATGTCTAACTTTCAGGTTTCTATTTTCAGCCGCAGACCCCATGTCGCCTCTTTATGTCTAAAGCCTCCTGGCTGGTCTACCTGCATGTGCCATCCGACCTCTGCAGCTCATCCAGAATGCAGCGGCTCGTCTGGTCTTCAACCTTCCTAAATGTTCCCACACCACTCCGCTCCTCCGCTCCCTTCACTGGCTTCCGGTAACTGCTAGAATCCACTTCAAGACACTGGTACTTGCGTACCATGCTGTGAATGGATCTGGCCCTTCGTACATCCAGGACATGGTTAAACCGTACACCCCAGCGCGTGCACTACGCTCTGCATCAGCCAAACGACTTGCTGCGCCCTCGCTGCGAGGGGGACCCAAGTTCCCATCGGCAAGAACACGTGGGTTTGCTATCCTGGCTCCAAGATGGTGGAATGAGCTCCCCATTGACATCAGGACAGCAGAAAGCTTGCACATCTTCCGGCGCAAACTGAAAACTCATCTCTTTCGACTCCACTTCGAGCGATAGAACTATTAACAAAGCACTTTTATACTACTAAAGGACTGGCTTATCTAAAGCCAGTTGAGTAGCACTTGAAATGTTTGGCTCTATGAAACCTGATGTACTTTATGATTCTGTTTTCTTCAAGGTTGTGTCTTCCTGGTCGAATGTACTTATTGTAAGTCGCTTTGGATAAAAGCGTCAGCTAAATGCAATGTAAAGTAATAATAATAATTATGTGCGTCGCTAAGTTCCTCGCACTACTTGTGTACTTTAAAGCGGCACGGCATGGTTTACAATTTGCGAGCGATTTTTCAAGTTGTCCGTCTTTCTTGTAAAATCCGAATTGTTGCCAAACGTTTGATTTGTAGGTATTTTTCGGTGCGCTGTGTTTCTCTTTCTCCTCGACTTCCATGTGTGTTGATAACTGAGACTCTCGGCCTCCGTAGTGCGAAGCAAAGATCGTCTCTGCTGAGTGCTGACAGGATGAGGGGATAATATATGAATGAATCCGTTTTTTACCGATGCAAAGACGCTACAATCGATGCATCGCGAGTTCAACCCAAACTGTAGCCGATGTGCACTCTTTAAACCGGTGCACTCGCATCTTGAACGTTTATGCCGGTGCACCGATGCGAATCAGTGAATCTTAACATCCCTAACATATAGTTACTGAGCACAGACAGGGGTTGGGGAGGCAAACAGTCCAAAACAGCACTTCTGAACTCATCATGAGACATTTTGATAGAAACACTTGGGTGGGGAAGCCTCTGAGTGTGTGACAGTGCTGCAGAGCGTCTCTGGCTGTGTGAGGGCTCTAACCTCCGGTGAACACAGGTTCAGTTTAATCTCTCTTTTAGCTCATGCTCTGGCCGCCTGAGGGGAAAATCTGTCTCTTAAGCTGCTAAATGTTCTACCTATGGCACCGGTTGATAGTGAGATAATTTACTGCATCAGATTCTGACCCCTTTTTGATGTGACATTTCATAGTTATAGAGAAAGAGGGACATTCACACATTTGTCATTAGAAAATCATGAGAACATGCTTCTTACACTTTGAGGATGTTGGCAACCAGACGTCCAAAAGCGGCCCCACAGAGCAGTGAGGGGACAAAGAGTCCGCTGGGCACAGACACACCGTAGGTCCAGCAGGCCAACAGGAAGTATAGCAGGAAGAACACTGACAGCGTCACCGGGCTAAAGGTTCCTGACGGGACAACAGGGGCAGAGTTAATATAGAGACCTCCTGAAACATGGCAGCATAAGTCTGTGAAAAGATGAAACATTTTGCATATCACAATCATTTATTACATCCATTATGTTTGTACATTTAACGTGTGTGTGTGTGTGTGTGTGTGTGTGTGTGTGTGTGTGTGTGTGTGTGTGTGTGTGTGTGTGTGTGTGTGTGTGTGTGTGTGTGTGTGTGTGTGTGTGTGTGTGTGTGTGTGTGTGTATTTGTGGAGGGGGGCGGGGGGCTTATCCCACCATCCTGGTGGAAGAGCTGGTGGATAGCAGCCTCCTGAGGGTTGAAGAACAGCGTGGCCATGTCGTTGTAGGTCTTGTTGGTGCATAAGAACTGACGAATGGTTGAGTTGATGTCCTCACTGCCAGACAGCTGAAACACAACTCACAGCTTAACATGAGATCAAGTCCTAACAGGAAGTAATTGAACCAGACTATCCTAAGGCTGTATCATAGTGTCTTCTTACTTAATATTCTTTACAAGTGAATAGATGGATAACCAAGGAAACATCAGAATTGTTGTGTTTACTAAAACTAGCACTTTGGCTGATGTTTGAGCTGCTGCTGTTGTAGCTTTGTGTTTCCCGCATGTGTGATAGCTCAGAGGACGTGTGGAACAGTTCTGAAAGCCCACAGTCACATACACAAACCTCCAGACAAGACTTAAGACTTGGTAATTACAATTAACATAACATCATATCGTATTAAGCCTTTTTCATGGAGGACCTCAATTGAATGCTTTTAAGACCTTTGAACGCATGCAGATATTCAGAGTTAGCCTCTGCTTTTCACAATTTGTGACACATGAACGCTGTACTGAAGATATCAAAGTGAACTTATGGAACAGTACGAACTGTAGGAATACGTCCCTGACTGCTGTGTTAAAGGGGCCCTATTTTGCTTTTTAGAGTTTTCCCTTTCCTGTATTGTGTTATATAGGTTTTTGTGCATGTAAATGGTCTGCAAAGGATAACATCCCAAAGTTCTCCCTAAATACCAACATATACCTGAACATCAGCAGGAGAGGACTCTTTAAAGTAGAGACACTACATACTGATATACACCTGAACATCAGCAGGAGAGGACTCTTTAAAGTAGAGACACTACATACTGATATACACCTGAACATCAGCAGGAGAGGACTCTTTAAAGTAGAGGCACTACATACTGATATACACCTGAACATCAGCAGGAGAGGACTCTTTAAAGTAGAGACACTACATACTGATATACACCTGAACATCAGCAGGAGAGGACTCTTTAAAGTAGAGACACTACTGTACATACTGATATACACCTGAGCATCAGCAGGAGAGGACTCTTTAAAGTAGAGACACCACATACTGATATACACCTGAACATCAGCAGGAGAGGACTCTTTAAAGTAGAGACACTACATACTGATACACACCTGAACAGGAGCATAGTAGGGCCCCTTTAAGACATATTTGATACAAGCAGCCCCTTATTATTTAAAAGTTGAGTGAGTTACATGAGTGCTCAGTAAGGATGCAGGAAAGAGTCACTCACTGTGGTGTTGTGGGTTGTGGGGGAGTACAGGTCACGACATTCGCCTAACAGTAACGAAGCAGCAAATATCACTACTGTTGTCACCATGGCAACCAGTAGACTCTCTAAAACTCTAAAAGAAATAAGTGTCACATTTTAAGACATTTGCAGTCAAAAGCAGAACAGACCTTTAGGACAGTAAAGATGGGTGCTGATTGTATGAAGATGCCCTGTAGCAATCACCTGATGAACTTGGCCTTTGGGTGGATGTTCCTGATGCGATACTTGGCCAGGGTTTTGTTCATGCAGTTGAAGAGCGCCCCCAGCAAGCCACCCACCACCCCCATCAGGACAAAGAAGGCCAGGTCCACTACTGTCCACAGGTGGCAGTTCTTATCTTCATCTGGACACTGCAGAGCAAACATCAGAACGTCACTGATATGTTTCATCAAGCAATGAATGAAAGGAGAGAAAACAAAAGGTCATAGAGAGTTCACCAGGCAAAAGGCAGGACAGGACATAAACTGAAACAATAAGAGCCGTCTTAAGAGTTCTCAGTCCTTTCTTGATCTTGAACATAAACAGATTTGAGTAGTCACAGATAAATTGGAGGTGAGAGTTCCAGATGGAGTCCCCCACCCATATCCGGTGTCCATTGCTGAATGGTGGGAACAGGAGGTTGGTGTCAAAAGGAAAGGAGGATGGCAGTGAAGGTGGGTGAGGCAGAAGGGGGCCTGGTTATGAAGGGCTTGGTTTGTGATGAGGATTTTGAAATGGATCCATTGTGGGATGGGGAAACAGTAGAAGGTCTTTTAGTAGAGGGACGATGTGGTCCCTGGAGCGGTAGTGAGTGAACATGCAAGCAGCAGAGCTCTGGATGTACTGGAGTCCTACTAAAGAATGTGGATATTAACCACAAAGATTATCAAGGTTTCAACAGCAGCAAATGAGAGGAATTGGAGGAGGCTGCTGTAATGATGAAATTAGCGTGGTGTTTGAACAATATTTTTACAATTTGCACAATTGTTATTGTTGTCGAGATGTGTGTAATAAAAGAGTTTTTGATACCAATAATATATTGAATAATTATAATATAAATGTTATAATTTAATAAAACTTAAAGACATACATTTTCACACATATTTTAGCTCAAACAAAGAGACAACCCCAGGGATTAACTCTTTACCTTGAACTCTCCAAAGTTGAGCAGACCAGGCAGCTGGAAGGAGCCCCACTTGTTAAAGTTGATCCCAGAACGGAAGAAGTTGAGGGTGAACGTGGCAGACATTGAGCAGAAGAGCTTGAACAGAAACAGAGGAGAAAACTGAGGTCTACTTAACTAGTGTAGATTAAAGCAACAGAGCCAGCGGAAAGACAACACATGTTTTGGTGTTTTGGATGAGGTGACATACCACTTTCCAAGTGAGTGCCTGGTTCCAGAAAGAGGAGCCCTCCTCCAGACTGAAGAGCGTGCCACCTATAGGAGCACCAAATGCAGCAGCTACTCCAGCTGCTGCACCTGCTGACACAAAGTCTCGCTTGTCCCTGAAAATCAGAACACATGACAACATGAGATATGCTTGTTCACACTAGCTGCATATTTTGACTTCGGTAACGCTGTTTGTGTAGTTTGCATACCTGTCACTGCGGAAGTAGGAAAAATCGAATTTGATCTTCTTGAAAGTGATGCTCTGAAACTGATGGAGGGGGAAGAAAACTGATGAGCACATTTCTAGCCATATTATGAGTCAAATCCATCAGTGGATGGACCAATTGAAAGTCAATGATTTTACAATGGAAGTGAAGCCCTGCCCACTTCCCTGTCTTTAAGAGGCTGTAGCAGGCTCACTGGAGCGAAGACACCGATATCATATTGCAGTTTAAACTTGTCGGGAAGGAGGATAAATAATCTCCAAAGCACATTTTTGGCAAGGTTAGAGCTGCCATGGCTACAACCACAGGGTCCCCTTGACTTCTGACCTCTAGTTTTCTGAATGCAAAAATGTTCTATAGATACCCAGCAGCCTCTGCTCTACAGACATGCTCACTTTATGATAATCACATCTTCATGAAGCTTTACAAACTGCAGACTGAGAGCTTTCAGAGGGGTTCGACTTTCCTATTTCACAATAAGGGGGTTTCTGATCTCCAAATACCAAAAGTGTTTTTTAACTCTAATCCCAGCATTTATTATTTTAAGGTCTAAAGGTCCTAATGGAGTGACATTTCCTAATTTGTAACAATTCCTGAGTGGTAATTTGTTTTTATTTGGCACCAAATCCATGTAACAAATGATATCAACCTAAACCATTCTGCACCAATTTATAAGACATAATAAAGCATGTTGATGGTCATCATCAACTTTCATAGTGTTTTCAGCGCTAATACCCTTTACATTATTGCAGTTTATTTACAGATTTCAGACTAGAATATTGTTGACGCACAGTGCTGAGCTGCATTTTAAAGTCGTCTTCAGGTTCTCCGTTTCCAGATGAGGGACACCACTTGTATTTTTTACCGGAGGAATAAAATGAAGGAACCTTTTTCCCTGTGGCCACTGACAGCTGTGTTACCACATATTTTATGTGAACCTGTCCTTTAAGATACAGTATGAGACAGGTGCAGAAGTACCTGAGGAAGGCCGGCCCCCACTATGGCTCCACTGTGAATCATTGGACCCTCTTTCCCCACAAACAGACCTGATTGGACACACACACACACACACACACACACACACACACACACACACACACACACACACACACACACACACACACACACACACACACACACACACACACACACACACACACACACACACACACACACACACACACACACACACACACACACACACACACACACACACACACACACACACACACACACACACACACACACACACACACACACACACAATTCCATTACATGTATTTATTAATTGGATCATCACAACAGCACTGCTCATCATTGTGGGGATATGCATTTATTCCTTTTGGAAACTAAGATTTTTGATTTAAGTGAACAAATTGTCAGTAGCAAGCCCCTTCAATATAAATAAATTCAACTTGGACACATTCAGTATGAAAGTCAGACCTTACCTCCAGCCACGCTGAACAGGACTCCAGCAGCTTTGCAGAGGCAAGTTCGCAGCCGGACGACTCCTGGAACCTTCACTCCGTTTAGGTAACTTTTAATTTCTGGGATCCCCGAACCTGCAGCTAAAGGCTGGAAACAGGCAACATACGTTTTCTAGGATCACAAACACACTTTGATTTGCATTAAAAACCCTGAATACATTGCATCTTTGTGTATGTATGTATTGATGCCGGGTCAAGTTTGGGTCAATCCTGAAAAAAATACTGGAAAGTGAAGGTTTTATAAAACACGTTCACAGTGGTCTGTAAGCCGGTCAACACAGAGAGAGTTTCTCAAACCGTCTACCAGAGTGTTTTAGCTTTATCACAAACATCTGCACAGCAGCATATTTCACAAATGAAGATTAAACCTTAATATCAGACAAATATGAAGATGCTAAACACATGATGCAGCTTCAAAGCAACACAGTTGCTGCAGCCACATGTAAGAAGGAGACTGTGTGAATGATTAATGCACAGGATTAATAAATCACTGCTCTCTAGTCTATGGTATGAATACTTCAGACTATCTACATTTGTCAAAGGTAAATAGACTGCATTTATAGTGCTTTTTCAGGGACCATTTTCAGTGTCTTGCCAATTGACACTTCAATATGTTGACTACAGGGGAATCAAACCAACAACCCACTCTTTAGCCTCCCTGCTGTTACTGTGTTGGCTAGATGGATTGTTATGATGTGTGTGTGTCGGGAGGTTACGCATCAGGGCTTTATCTCTTGCGAGAATTTCATTTAACAAATATGCTTCTTATTGGAGTCTTGAGGAGAATTACATGTTTTACTACTCACATTACTGCGATGACTTAATATCATAAGACAATGCCTTCTGTTTGAATGTAAAAGCTGCTGTGTGTGAGCAGTCCTACCTCAACGAGGACGAGCACACTGGCGATGAAGACGAAGGTCAGGTTGAAGGCCAGGAGCTCCAGCAGGGACACAGAGAGACAGCCTCTGTCACTGCACTGCTGCAAGGCTGCAGGCTGAGCTCAGGACAACATTCACACATCTCAATGTTTCTGCTTACTGTCAGAACATACTGTAATGAATGATGGCTGCCCGGAAGAGAGAAACAACGGCTAGTATGCACTTTATATGCCTGTCCATACTCCATTCATTATGTATCATAATCATTTTGCACTCATTTGTGAATCAATTTAAGGTTTACAGATTTGTTTCTATTTGTTTGTGTATTTGCTGCTCTGTTTTATAAATGCAATTTGTTATCTTCATAGCATCATGTGATCCGCTAACACGCTTCCCTTTACGCATACTGTGACTGCAGAGCACTGATTGACATGTGTACAGTCTGACCTTACTGCCAGGGGGCAGGAGGAAGGATTTTATAAACGTAATCTATATTATAAGAATCTTATTTATCATTTATTTTATAACTTGGTTATTTTTGTTAAATTGTCAGACGTTATTATAACCCTTTGGGTAATATTGTGACTTATTTTGCCCAAATGCACATTATTCCACTAACACCATTTCCACCACCATAACCCTGTGCGGTGGACAGCACGTCACAGAAAGGCTGATCACTGCACACTGCACTCAGCCATTTATCCTGCCATTAGAAGAGGCATGTCAAAGGATACAATCCGCAACCAAAGTATATTTGATTTTGGTGAAGAGGCGAACAAAGAAATCCACAAAGAGGCCCACCTGAAGGAGACAGGAAGTGATGATTAGTACGTTGAAATGTGGCTATCAAAGAGATATTCCCGGCCCACCTACCAGACCCACGGTGACTCCGATTGCAAACATCAGCATCCATCGCACTGCTTCATACTTTTTGGCTTTCTATTGGGACATGAAAACATGTTACAAACATTTGACAAATAAGATATGAATATTAAAATGTAGAAAATATGTTTTAATGATGGATTTAAATTGTATCAACAAAGTTGTTTTTATCACATGACCTAATCCAACAGTAGTGCAGCAGAATGCACATTTTCCTATTTTATGTGTTTGTGCACATTCCATTTTTATTTTCTTCATATCATAGAATTTATGTACATTTTTTCATACAATTATTATTTCATATTTATGAAATAGATAGAGTAGGCATACTATTCAATTGTTTCTACTACTGCGATACATCTTGTTAAAGCAGCTCTTTCAGATGATCTGTAAAAACACGTAACGGTATGTTCCTGTTCTTAACAAAAAGAGGTCCGTTCAATTAGCTAGATGATTTAGTTCATTATTTAGATAAGCAGTCTAGTTTAAAATAAACTAGTAGTGTCCACAGATCAAATATAAGAAGAAAGTTCACTGATATCAGGCAAGACCAATAATCTCCATTGAGAATCAAAATAGCCCTGGCCCCTAACATGTGTGGAGCACCAGGTTTAGGTTGATTTTAAGTATGGGACAACTTCCACAAATGAAAATGTCTAGAAACACTGCTTTGGTAAATACTATAAGCTTTATTATCAGAAGCCCTGGGTGGATCCTTAATGGAAGATGGCACTACACAATGTAACGGAAACTTCTGGAGCAAGGACTCGAAACACAGTGCAACACGGGAGAGCTGGACTTGATGGCAGACAGACAATGATGGTTTATTGGAAGAGATTTGCTGCAGCAACGAGTTGTCGCAGCCCCTGCCTAACCGATTCTGAAGATCTTTCCCCAGTCCCCTGTATTTAGCAAGCTCTGAGAGAATAATCAACATTGTGCATAACAAAACATAACAAGCAAGGCACTATAAGCCTGTCCCTAGCTAAGAATATATGCCAAAGGGGAGATAGCATTCAGATAAATTGGACTACCAGATGTCCCTAGCCAGCAAACTATCTTGTGTCAGTTTGAGCTCGACCCTTAACAAGCAACAACAATAACTGCTTCCTCAGAGAGAGAGAGAGAGAGAGAGAGAGAGAGAGAGAGAGAGAGAGAGAGAGAGAGAGAGAGAGAGAGAGAGAGAGAGAGAGATATTTTCCTGAACACACAATATACATGGATCTGTAAGATTCCACCTGCTGGAAGTGAAGGCTTTGTAGATGTGTCCTCCACTTTGAGCGACAAGTAAACAAAAGACATTGGAAGTGATCTTCTTACCTTGTTGTCCATTCCCTCGAGAAGCTCCACGTAGGGCTCGTTGATGCAGCGATCATAATCCAAGCTCTGTAAAGCCAAAACGAGAAAAGTCAATCCACACTTGACTCAGACATCTGTACCTGAACACATCCACACTGCTTACTTACCTCATAGTCTTTCCTGGGTAGAATCTCATCCTCTTCATCTTGGAATTCCCCAAGGATCGTCTTCAGGAAAACATCAAAATAGGTTTTATTGTTCTCTAAAGACACATCCAGCCAAGCAGGGACTGCCAAACCCTGCAGCTAACTACAAGTGTTTAGCTGAATACTATTTCATCCACAACATGAAAACCAGCACATAGTTTACATAGAAAATAATCACAGCGCACCCTAATGTCGAGGAGAACATGGGATATCCAGGATTTATTGACCTATGTCTCTGATCGGTCTCTTAGATTTTGATTTAAAGAAATGTGTATTAACTGTAAACAGGTGTAGCAATATGCAAAACATGTTATCTTCAAAAGGTAATCTTCTGAGTGTGTCAAAAAGTACACTTCTTGGTAGAACAGGCTCGTCACACGTCTACTTCAATAGCTTCATTTAGAAATTGCCCCTTTTTCACCTACGCAACATAATAAAAATCAGGCATATCTTGCCTTAAAACGAGAAACGAATCCATGCATTTGTTACTTCAAGGCTGGACTATTGTATTTATTCTCAGGGTGTACCTGAACAAGTTGCTTCAGCTGATTCAAAATGCTCAGCTCGTGTACTAACCAGAGTTAGGAAAAGGGACCACATTACTCCTGTTCTGGCTGCCTTACACTGGCTCCCTATAGAACACAGGATAGAATTTAAAATTCTTCTTCTCGCCTACAAAGCCCTTAATGGGCAGGCGCCATCTTACCTTAAAGAACTCATTATACCCTACTGTCCTACTAGGGCATTGCGTTCCAAGAATGCAGGGTTGTTGGTTGTTCCTAGAGTCTCTAAAAGTACAATGGGAGCCAGAGCCTTTTCTTATCAAGCTCCACATTTGTGGAATCAGCTTCCAGTTTGTGTTCGGGCGGCAGACACCCTATCCGTTTTTAAGAGTGCGCTTAAGACCTTCCTTGATAAAGCTTATAGTTAGGGCTGATTAGATTCAGCCCCTAGTTTTGCTGATATAGGCTTAGTTTGTCGGGGGACATCTTACTTCTTCCTTCTCTCTGTCTATACCTGTGTACTCTCATGTTCCGAATATGTATGCTACTAATCCAACTTTCCCAGAGGTTTTCTTTGGGAGTTTTTCTTGTAAGCTGCAGGGGTCTTAGGACAGAGGATGTCATATTCTGTACAAGCCCCCTGAGACAATTATAAAGTGAATAATATTGCATACCTGCCAACCCTACCGATTTGGGCGGTAGTCTACCGCTTTGGACATGTTTCTACCGCCTACCGATTTAGCTGGCTTTCCCTACCGATTTCAATCTTCCCAAATTATAAAAAATAAAAATGCCCCTTTGGTGCACCATAGACAATGGACTCCACTTTGGCTCCTATCCAATGAAATTGGATTTGCTCATCACGTGATTAGTGATTAATGTCCTGTCCTTGTATGTTTCTTTGTAAAGTGACCTTGAGGTTATGAAAGGCGCTATATAAATTCAAGTTATTATTATTATTATTATTACTAAAGTGACTGAACATTGTATACAAAATACAAAAAGTGATGAAATATATTAAATACATGGTTTGTACATGTAATTACTGTGGTTACATTTCTTCTGATTACCTAATTTGAGCGTGCACATTTTCCACGCGCAAACATACCTCTTTTGGATTTGGAAAGGTTGGCATGTATGATATTGTGCAATACAAATAAACTTCGATTGATTGAATGACCGACAATATAAACTGTAATTTAAAAGCAGATTTGGGGGAAAAAATATCAAGCAAAAAGCATGTAGTTTATTTTTTATATTACCTAGTATTCACAAGTGGATGTAATGCTTCATGGGCTTGATAGGAACGTCTACCCTACGATTTGTACAAGAGACACAGATACATTATTGCACTGCTTTAAACAGTTTCGTATCTCTACCGGTGTCTGTAAATCGATTAGAAATCATGTTTGCACCATATGTTTATGTGTTTTAAGGCTGCTCATGTGATTTTGCCTGTGCTAATGTGGTGTCATCCTGCTCATGGGTTTTTCCGTGCTTATGTGACCTTGTGTGTTTTCTTTTAGTGCCATCAACCTGCCAGGGACTACGAAAGAAAGTTAGCGTCTATGCAGGGCCGGTTTTTGGCATAGGCGACATAGGCGGTCGCCTAGGGCGCCAGTTCTGGGGGGTGCAGCGCTGGCAGCTCTGGGAGGGAAAAAAACATTTTTGCCCGTTGGTGCTCATCCTAATTTTTTTTCCTAAATATGCATAAATAAATGTTAAAGAGGGTAAAATAAGATATGAATGAACAACAAAAATAAAATAAGTTACATGTATTTGTTATTGGCTATGGTAGGTTATTGGTTATGTTCACATACTTATTTGATTATTAAAATGTAAACCGATCTTTTTCATATGGGTGTTTAGAGTTGTACCCCCTAGATAGTCTCTAGTAATTGTGTGCTCAAAGTGCACCAGATTGAAGCATTTTACTTTAAAACATCAAATTGGCTAGAACCGGTTTTAGAGTATAACTTGAGTTATGACAACTGGCGTCATTCTATTATTTTATTTAGATAGATGTATCCGGGGCGTGTACATTGAGGACCCATTGTTGACTTACAGGAAATAAACATATCGATCGCCTCGTTTGTCGTTTACATTAATCTTTTGCTATATCTGCCTTCCTAAGATCACTTTGATGCACATTCAGTACTCGTATGTGAGGTTGTGGGTGAGAGGTGGATATCGTGACGCTTACAGGGAGGTATCGAACATTACAAAGTAGGTGACTGTGTGGATGCCTGTTCAAAACATTGCAAACTTGAATAAATCATTTAAATTATATATTTGTGTCCGACTTTCATTTGTACATCGTTCTTAATGTGATGTATAGTAGCTTTGATAGCTGTCCATACCTTCAGACAGCCTAAAAGTAAAACACAAGTTGTTTACTCACAGCCCGAGCGCTCATCGAGATGACTGGATCATCTATGACAAGCTGTGATCTGCTCCGATTCTATTGTGACATAAGTTCTGTGAATATTCTCCAGCGAGCAAGTTTTTTTAATTAAATACCTGTATCCCTCTCATCACAACAAGACTCTACATTGTGCAGGAAAAACAAATTACATACATGAAAATAACCTTGATGCATAGCTTGGAATGAAACAAACAAACTATCTTCCATGGCTAATATAATATATATATATATATAATATAATATATATATTTATTTATATATATATATATATATAATATATAATAATATATATGTCACAGTAACTGTAAACCACAGAAAAGTAAGTCCAGCGGGGCACAAGTTGAATCCATATAATACGGTAGTTCTATTATGCCTTAACCCATTTCTACTTTTGGGGAAATTAAGGGGAACGTCATTTAGACTAAATAGACCACCTAACACATTTCTGACAAGTAACCCCCCCTAGTGTCACATATCTGAAATGTGATATGTCACATTGAGCTTTAATGGTAAAGTAACTCTTATTTATAACTTAATTAATGAGGATGATTTTTTGGTTTACATTTGTTTGAAGATACTTTTAATTGAAGAATAAAGAATGTATTAACTAAATATAATTTAATCAGCTAAATTAACTGAGCAAATCATAATAATATTTCTAATTGTGCATAGGGCCTATGTCACTCTGGGTTTACTGTGAATGTTTAGGGTTAATGTCCTGATGTGACATCAGTGTCACAGCGATGTTTGTCTCATTTGTTTCATATCAATTTGATCAAGAAATGTTTCCACAACTGGTTAAATGTAATCAGAATCAGAATACCTTTATTCGTTCCACAGAGGGGGAATTCACATTTGTGACAGCAGAAAAGAGCCACAGACAGCTTAATGTTTAACAAAGGACATGTCATGTAAGCATTTTTATTGTTAAATGGCTTGAATGTTAACTTTAGCAACAAATAAAAAGGTTGTACAAATGCTAACGTATTATATGGATTCAACTTGTGCCCCGCAGGACTTACTTTTCTGTGGTTTACCGTTACTGTGACATATCAGTATTAGCCATGGAAGATAGTTTGTTTGTTTCATTCCAAGCTATGCATCAAGGTTATTTTCACGTGTGTAATTTTTTTCCCTGCACAATGTAGAGTCTTGTTGTGATGAGAGGGATACAGGTATTTAATTAAAAAGGAGAATAGCTACAGAACTTATATCACAATAGAATCGGAGCAGATCACAGCTTGTCATAGATGATCCAGTCATCTCGATGAGCGTTCGGGCTGTGAGTAAACATCTTGTGTTTTACTTTTAGGCTGTCTGAAGGTATGGACAGCTATCAAAGCTACTATATATCACATTAAGAACGATGTACAAATGAAAGTCGGACACAAATATGTAATTTAAATGATTTATTCAAGTTTGCAATGTTTTGAACAGGCATCCACACAGTCACCTATTTTGTAATGTTCAATACCTCCCTGTAAGCGTCACGATATCGACCTCTCACCCACAACCTCACATACGAGTACTGAATGTGCATCAAAGTGATCCTATCGGGGCAGATATAGCAAAAGATGAACGTAAACGACAAACGAGGCGATCGACATGTTTATTTCCTGTAAGTCAACAATGGGTCCTCAATGTACACGCCCCGGATACATCTATCTAAATAAAATAATAGAATGACGCCAGTTGTCATAACTCAAGTTATACTCTGATTGATTGATTGAAAAGTTTATTAACAGCTTGTATATTGGGTACAGTACAGTACAGCTCAAAACATACAATTGTTAAGGGGATGCAGACCAGAGAAAGACTTTCGTCTTGTTTACATCAGGGTCCCCCATTTTCAATTCATCATATCATTTAAGACATATAAGACATATTTGACATACAGATGGCTTATTTACAATTTACATACAGGTGGTTTTTTACATACAGATTGCTTATTTAAAATTTTCATTTTAGATTTCGTTCTAATACATCCTAACCGGACATTTAAGACATACCAAGTCTACAGATATACAGTTAGTAACAGAGTCTAAAATGCGAGTATATACATAGATGGGGGGGGGGGGGGGGGGAAGCTGTCCATTGAACGACAGGTTGAGATTTGTACCATTACCGGGGCCAGTTTTGCAATGCTCTCCCCCGAAGGTGCTCTTTAAGAGAGGTTTTGAAGGTAAGTATAGTTTTACTTTCCTTTACAGTTGTGGGAAGAGCGTTCCACCTTGATGTGGCATAATTGCGAAACGTGTATTCCCCCTTTTTTGTGCCAAATCTGGGTTTCACATGATTTGTGGAGCTCCCTCTGGTGTTATGATCATGGTATTCCTTGACCTTTGGGAAGAATGTTGACATGTACATGGGTACCATAGAGGTGTAGTGGATCTTGTAGACCAGGCCCATTGCAAGTAGCTGTACTCTGACTCTAACACCGGCCCTGCGTCTATGGATAAATCTGACACATTTACATCATGGACTCAAGTGCTCATGTTGATTCATGTGCATTGTCCCTTCCTAAATGCATATACATTATTGCGAAGGTGTCGGTTTTGCATTGTGAATGGGTTTTATGGTAAAAGATGTAAGACACCAGAACACAACAGTGTCGGATCAGCAGGGTGGAGTAAGCAAACCAGAACAGTGCACTGAGAAGAACCCACGTGATATTCCGACGGAAAATATCTAATTATGAATTAATCAAGAGACCACCTTTTGAAATAATTCATATTTTTGCCTTACCAGTTCCTCTGGTGTCCGAGTCTCTCCTTCGCTGCAGCAACATCGGCAACAAAAACAGTTTCCACAACACGCCATCTTCGCTGTTGTGTCACGCTGCGTTCAGTGGCTTTGGTAAAAACGCCTAGCACAGAACTATCTAATTCACTAGAAACACCTTACACATTTAGTGTGTAGAACAACAGACAGCTTATTTGACCGCATATAAGAGTAGGGGCTGTGTCTTAACATTTGATTTTTGAATATATGATGATAACGTTATTGCTCTTTGAAAAGTAATATTTCCCATGACATTTAAACGCAGCAAGAGTAGCTACCCCTATTTGTCAAAATGCGGAATGTTATTCAAAATAGTCAAAACTGTGTGTCTTTTACGCATAAGTTTAATATTATATCATAACCGCATTTCAAACTCTTAAAATTAATGCATAATTAAAAAATATCACCCTATGGGAATGTGTAAAAAAACCAATTAATTTGTGATTGAGCTGTTGTAATCATTGTTTACAATATTAAAAACAATGGTATTCACTGCTGCGTTAGCTTACTTTCTTCTTGTTGGTTTAAAAAAACAACTATTTACATTTAAAAAACAACTATTTAGCAGCTATTAATAAAGGTTATTTTTTGTAGACATTTACACAATCAAATGTGTCAGGTGCATAATCAACGTTTTTTAAGTCAGGGTCATGTTATAATTTGTTTACGTCTTTCTTTAACTCTTTCACGAACTCGCAAAGGAGAACTTTCCGCTGCTGTTATAAGGCCCTTTCTCATTTAATCAATTCCCCCTCCTCGACTCCTCGGTTGCGTTCCGATAATCCAAAAATCAGCTCCTAACGTCTAACCCTATCGTCTATTCCTTGACCTCTGAGTGAAACGTCACGGGGTTAAGGACTAGTGGATAGGAGAATTCAAAAGGACTTAGGAGAAGAGACTGCGGTGCTTTAAAGAATCGACTGCACTTTCACTATCCGACGTGTTTATGATGCGCCAGGGGACGTCATGAATGTGCGTCTGCTGCTGTGGGGAAACTATGGAAACTACAGTTTTCTATACAGCGGACTACAACATGGATGTATAATAAGAACGAGGGACTACTGTAAACTCATCTAGAGACTCTGCACCGTGCTCTGATGCTGTTGCTTTATGCTTTATGAACGTGGACAACAGAGAAACATATTCTTCATGACCAAAGTTGGAATTGAAATAAAAAAGGAAAGTGAAACTTATGCTCGTCACCCTCTCCCTCCGGTCCACATTAATACAAATGATCCCAATACGTATGATTATATGAACTATGAAAATATCTAAAAATCAATACAAATGTATTTATTATAAACGTTAGTCCTTAACATCTATCACTGTGTATATCACCATTCAAACATCTTTTAAAAGTTGAACAAACTCCACACAGCTCAGTAAAGACTGTGAGATGTTGACTTTATTTGATCATTTCAGTAAAAACTAACGTTCATATTTCTCTTTTTGATTATAATACTGATGAACGTTCAGAACAAAGCACTTTGGCAACTTACCACATACGTTTTAAAATGCTTAATAATCACTGTAACTTTCATGATATAATTTCTCGGTCATAATCGGTTGTTTCCGTGAACGGCCGACTGTTGAGTGACGGCAAATGCTGCGGCTGCAAGGCATTGTGGGGCAGCACTTTCTCCTCTCCTTTCGGTGAGGGAGGTCCAGTGGTTCCTAAGCTAAAGGAGGTTATAAAGGAAGTTTGAAACCTCCTTTCCTTTCATTTAGAGAATTGGAACGGCACTTAACATGGCTGCCACTGAGGGACTTCCGGGTCATTTCACTTGGTTAGGATGGTTCCTAAGCTAAATGGACTATTGGAACGCAACCCTCGACTCCTCGGTCCTCCGGTAGTGACCCGGAAATGAACTTCAGTGCGCCAAGTTGAAGGACATCTAATTTCTCTAAATGCACTTCGAGGACTGAGAATCGAGCGTCGAGGAGGCTGTCTGGAGGAGCTATAATCAAGGATACACTGGCCGTTTCTCAATCTCAAGGATACTGGCTTCCAAGCCAATATTTCAAGGATGCATACGTCATCGAGTGCCGCCAAAGGACTGTTCCCATCTCCAGCATACTTGGAATTCCACCGAGGCTGCGTCCTTGGTTTGGGGGAAATTTTGAGGCTGCACATGGGTAGACTTCGCGTCCTGAAAATCCCCACAATGCTTTGCGCACGGACCAATTAAAAAAAACCTTGCGGAGAATGGCTGAACCGACGCAGCACACATTTAAATGTAATTATGTAGTGGCGTAGAACATGTGTTGGTAAATATGTAATTTGTTTGTTATCACCAAAAATGTGTTCCGTGAAAGTAAAGCAAGTTCATAATTAAATAGACATCGTGAGGTATTTATTTTCGGTACAGTTTATGTTGAAACCGTTAGAGAGAGTGGCACACTTGTTAGCCTGTTCCATTCTTCTTCGTTTTCCGAAGCCGTGGCTTGGAAGTATACTTGCTTCGTTTCTGAAGGAAGTGACATGGAAGTACGCGACTACCAAGCCAGCATCCTCGCGATTGAGAAACACCCACTGATGGATCCTCCACAGTAAGAACTGGATACAGCGTGGAAGGCGGGGCCTCAATTTCTATGAGAGTTGCTCATTGGCGCATGGATGACAAAATGGGCCAACTTTTGAGAAAGTGAAACGTCACAGATTACCCAGCATGCCTGAGAAGTACCCGTATGTGCGCTCATAGCGCATGCGCAAATTTAACCACGCCCGCCAAAAGGCTCGTTCACATCAAGCACGTCAATTTGCGTACACGTAACAGCACCGCGGGTTCTGGATTATTATGATGGATTTGATATTAACGAATAACGAGGCGGCCGCGGCAGTTAGCAGCTAGTGTCTAGCTAGTGTAACGTCCGAGCCATTAGTAATTATGCCAATGTTCACATCAATCGTTATGTACTTTTATATTACGCTGATGTAACAGGATCTAGTGATGGTTTTGTTCAGCATTGGCAGCTTCACTGTTGAACTTTATGTTGTGCCCAGCATTCTCCTGTGCTCTGAAATCAAAATGTGGATACGTATAAAACAACACTAAAATAAACACTACAATACAACTTGTTATTTGACACACACAAGGTTGTTAATTTGTGTGTATATAACACAGGCTATATACATATATATATGTATACAAATACAAGTATAATTAATACAACTGTTAATTTGATTAGAGCTTTGACACATATATCTTTATTTATTTATGTATAAGTATGACGACTTCCTCGGGCGATATCATATGGTATAGCTAATTAATCTGGGTCAAAACGTGTTGTGCCCACATGCAAAGGTTGTAAACTCTGGCTTATCCCTGCGTGGTATTATAGTAATAGCAAACAGCAACGTTCAACTCCTTTAATGGTATATTGCAAGTGCAATATGAAGCTACAGGGACGTTAATCTACGTCGGTAATATTAACTTTATTTAATACAAGATTTAATCATACAGCCCATGTAGTATAATATTTTACAAATGATGAATTACAGCAAACATGTGCAATATATCCATTATTACAGCTCCGTGGGCAGTAAGGCGATATGGGTACGTTCTTATTGGGCATCCATGGGTAAAGGTAAAACTCATGTAGTACTGAACCATGTAGGCTACTGAACACGTAACATGAACGTGCCGGGCGGCGCGGTCCCGTGGGTTAGATGCACGTTCATAATACAGAGGGAAATAACTCTCAGAATAACGTTATTAGCACATTTTTACAACTTGAGGAACGAATGTTTTTAATAAGGGCTAGTGTTCATACTGGGTAGTTTATCTAGTTTTAAAAATTATCCAACGATTTACAGACCACTCTTTCCCCATGTAGGCCTAAGTCAATGGGAAAAAATGTTTCCGGGCCTGGCAACCAAACGGAAGTAGAGTACCGCCGTTTGGCCACCACGAATATTTTCATCTGACACACGGCCGGACTTATCTCAGCCAATGACAGCTCTGCATGCATCCCCTGGATATTATTTTATGAACTGCTTTCATCGCATCGCGATGTTTCCAGAGAGAACAGCTGTGAGGTCCGTGCAGAAAGCAGAGCAGTGTGTATAATATATATCACTCAGTATAACAGGCCTACTCTCTTTATTTGCTTTAGTTTAGTAGGCTACAGTGGTTCTCAACCTATTCACACCAAGTAGTACCACCTGAGAAAATAGTTGGCTCTCCAAGTACCACCATATGACCAATGTTAAAATTAAGTCTATGCACAGTTCATGCAGGACTCGGAGGCACATTTATTCATAATAACATTATTTATTGTCAACCACAGCTACATGTACAAAGGGCAGTCTCTCTCTCACTCATCACTCACTCACACACCACAAGTGAGAATATAAAGAACAAAATAATAACTTATTCTCACACAACAAATGACAACATCTCATTTCCTATACCAACGTTTGAATGTAGGCCTCCTGCAACAACCTACATTGTAACAGAACATTTCCTATTGGGAATTCAGTTCCACAATAATAATGAAAGCTTCCAGGAGTAGATGAGCTAAGGGCTAATAGCTCATCTTCAGTCTGCTGATGTTTGCTATTGCCATTTGGAAAAGTAAAAAAGAAAAGAAAAAAGACAACAATTAAGGACAAGTGTGTGCTTTTTCAGCTTTTGACCTCGGTCACAGCCTTCTCTCCATTCTTTGCGCAAATGCCTTCTTCCTGAGTCACTTCTCTCCTCCATCACAGCGGCTGTGCATATCACTTTTGTGTTGCTGGCGGAGCCTGCGCTTGTGCTCGGTTGATGACTGTCCTCCTCCTCATTCACTTGTTCATTTTCGCTGGTAATATTCTCCTCTGTACCTCTCTCACAGCATAATTCAACTTTCTTCTTTCTTTAGCTTGCTTGCAACGTTCGCTAATCGTTCGCGGGTAGTATGGTCATCATTAGCAATGCCAGAAATACATTAAAAACAAATTTTGTTTCTAAATCTAAAAACAACAATAGCCTATATAACTTATTTAAACCACAGTTTCAATTATCTCAATCTTATTTTCATTCATTGTAGTATTTTGATAGTATGATTTATTTTGTAATTAATGTTATTCAATCACGCCTCAAACTGATGGCCCTTGTCCCTATAGCCTGTTTTAAATTGAAGTTGTCTGAGGTCCTTACCACCAGCTGCTCTTGCAGTAATAAGTAGTATACCTTACTGTCCCAAATGTGCTCAATGTAGTGACTGCTTTTCGTCTTTTCGTTTACTTGTGTTTTCTGTATTTTATATGTCTGTGTTATGTGTAAGAACGTGTAACGTTGCTTGGCCAGGTCAGCATTTTAAATTAGATTTTGTCTCAATGTTTTCATCTGGTTAAATTAAATTAAATAAATTAAAAAAATATTTTGTATATGTCAGATTCC